GAGACACTAGCAAACCTGGGTTTCGTCGGCCACGCGAAAGGAGGACGATGAAGAAGAAACGAAAAAACAGGAGGAAGAAAAAGTCAAAAAAGAGCAAAACCATTAATCACTTACGTCTTTGGTCCGTCGGAGTGCTGATTTTCACCGATACACCTGGCGGACCGCGCTGACCGACTAGCAGAAGCAAGACCAGAACACAGCCTGAGCATCGATGTCTGGAAATCAGTGGAATCGGGGCAAAGTGGACCGCCGTTTGGGGTCGGTCAGCGGCAACGCTGACAGAGACGGTGTGTTGCAACAGAGGCGAACGAACACTTATAATTCGCCGATCAACCTCGTCTTGCCTCAATGAAAACCACCGGCGACAGCTGTTCTCGTCGCCAGGGGACTCGCGTGCACGTGCTGTTGTCGGAGTCGCCTGAGTGAAGTCGATGACGGCCGTTTGGACGTCATTCTTCATCCTCTGCGCCCCCCTCCACTCACCCCCGTCCGTACGGGCTGGGTCCTGCTGGCGGAGGGTGTAATTTTGACTATGTCAGAGGTTGTTAGTGGCCGTGCCGCCGTCCGGACCTGCGCCGCATAAATCTCCATAATTTCCACAATAAATTGTCGCCAGCGAACAGGGCAGCAATCACTCGGGGGTGCTGGCACATTGGCACTATTTTTAACCGGAACCAGACACGCCTGCGCCGTCGAATTTTGTCGGTTAGACGGCACTGTTGTTTGCTGGCGAACTCTTGGTCAGTAATACTCAGTCCTAGGCCAATATGTTCGCCTTTTGATTGGTCGCCCAAGGTCACTGTCTAATGGGTCACGTGGCCTTACATTACATAGGGTGATAATTTCGGCCGCGGGCACATACGCATCGATATGCATATGCATAATACAGTCTCTTAACGAATGAAACCTAACCGTGGAAAATTCGATTTTGACACATTGCCAATATGGCAGTCTCTTATTCAGATTCTGTAACACAAAATAACTAATACCACAAGAACGAGGGTACACTAAAACTATGCTGAAAATACGCCTCATCGAAGAAAGCAGGAGCGCGGTAAAAAAAATTATCAGATTTTCCCTCAAGCTGAACCACTCCAAGCAGCTCTACCAACCAGAGTTTCTCGGTCGGTAGGTCCTCGAACTCAGAAACCGAGAGGTTCAGGGTTCGAGCATCGGTCTGATCACATGCCTTTCTTTAAATTGATAAATGAGTACCACGCTGTGGGAAGAGTACCACGCTAGTGAATGAGTACCACGTAACAGAAGATTACACACCATGCTTCCCAAATAGCTGCTGTCGACTATGCCTTTAAAATAAAGCGCTCCTGCGTGGTGGTTGAAAAAGAGATCTGCACCTCGCCTCAATTTCATGAAAAGAACGGTACTGTAAATAACTCCGTTGTATAAAGAAGAGGGATAAACTTTCCTTTTCCTTTGTCTTACGCCACGTTTTAGCGAAATCAGGCTGCATAAAAGCGGTATTCAGAAAATAGTTAGAACTTGTCTATCTCACTCAATGCAATAACGCTGCCTTGATGAAAGAACAGAAAATCATATAAAATGGATTAAATTAAATTCTCGCTGATTTTACTCAGATTACCTTATGTCACTCAATATTTCGTTTCTGGTAGAATAATTAGTGAAGGCCTTTGGAATATAGTTCGGCATTTCTGCTCGTGTGGTGAAGAAACGAGCACTTCCGCGTGAGACACTTTCTTCATGAATTGATATTGAAGCTATCCGCTTTCTATAGATATTATTCGCAACCTTTATGACGGTGACAAGGGAAAAGCTCTCTTTATTCAAGTCCCAACACAAAACAAACTGGGGCCAAATGGTTCAAGGTCATCAACAGGTGACACTGTCGTGAGTTGGCATCCATGAAGCTTGTCGAATTGGCAGAGGACTTGCATCAGTAAGAAACCGTCTGAAATTACTCCCCATGCAACCCAAACGGAAGCGCGAAATCAAGAAAAGTCATTAATAAACGAGTAGCTTGGCCAAAGTGCAAGTTTTCGTCAAATCCACGAACCAAACAATTACCAACTAAGACTCAACATTTCAGATTCTGAATCAGTTGCTGAAATTGCATATAGTTTGCCAATTCATGGTTAGTGTCCTCAACTACTGCTTACTGGACATGTGTACTTCAATGGGCTTGAGCAATGGACAGACCGACATTGAAAATCTGACGTAGTTTATATCGTCGCATATAACCTAGGATTGATTGCTTCATATTTCTGTGTTCGGCATTTGTCTTTTCAAGGTGTCATTTAACGAGGCGAAAATAATTTCATAAGATGACCAAGTTGTGAGGGCAGATTTCAAAAATGTGAACTTTCTGTCAACTTAGATGTTTAGTAAAATCTGATGAAATAACGGCAACGTCTGCATCGTCGGCATCGGTTACACGAAAGATCAGACACCGACATAAATCACAGTGATCGACTGAAGCAAAGGCCGATGGACGTCGTCTGAACATGCGTCAAACTTCGTGATCTCAGGCTGCCTTCGAAGCTGGCTTTTCACCTGCTTGACATATAAGCGTCATTGACGAGAGCAGACGACGAGGACGGCGCAAAATCTCGAAAACTGAAGCTGAGTTATGGCGTCTAAAATTACACCCGTCACGGCTGATTCGCTGTAGGTATTTTTCACATGGTATCCCGTCATATGGCTGAAGACCAGATTTTCCAATGAGATAGAGACGCTGCAGGTGATCAGAGACAGCCAACAATCAAACATCATCAGAACGCGAATCAGTCTTCTGAATTACACATTTTTGTTCATTCACCGTCACCTCTCCTACGAACATTTACAAGCCTTCTGTTGAAGTCAAGTCTAAGTCATTGGCGCCATGGTTTAAGAAGTTTACACGTCAATTTCCACCGGAATTAATAGACAGTTCAAATCCATGTAA